GGATGGTGACGGTCGCACCCCTTTTCAGAGGAAAGTGAGATCCTTCCTTGGCATGGTGATGTTTTACCAGCATTTCATTCCAGGGTGCTCTCATATTGCAAAGCCACTCTTTGCTCTAACTGCCGGTCAGAAGAGGACTAAAGGCTGCCATGGGAGTCGGGAACCTTTCGTAAGCTCACCCCTCAAGACTGGACTCCTGCTTGCGAGAAGGCATTTGAGGGACTCAAAGGTGCACTCCTCAGCTGTACGGTGCTGGCACATCCTGATTTTGAGAGGCCATTCATCCTTTCAACTGATGCTTCCATGGATGGGCTAGGTGCTGTATTATCCTAGGTGCCAACTGGTGAGGAGAGAGCAAGACCTATAGCCTTTGCTAGTAAGTCTCTCAGCCGCAGTCAGGCCAAATACCCAGCACACCGGCTTGAATTTTTGGCTCTGAAATGGGCTGTGTGCGATAAATTCAGCCACTGGCTCAAGGGTCACCGGTTCACTGTCTGGACTGATAACAATCCTCTCACATACATTCTGACTAAGCCAAAGCTGGATGCCTGTGAACAGCGTTGGGTCTCTAAGCTTGCACCATACTGCTTTGAGATCAAATATGCTCCTGGAAAGCTGAACATCGTGGCAGACACCCTGAGCAGGGAACCATTTGTGAGACCTTTGGCCCAGCGCTTCCTGTCGGAGCCTTACTTTGAGCTGCTAGAGCAAATCAGTGATGTGAAAGATGCCAGTGTCCAAGATGCCTTCCGTTTGACCTGTCAACCTCAATCGATACGCAGTGCTCCACCCTCTGCTGTCCTTGATGTGTCTCTGTCAACTGATGACATGCCTTCCCTCTGTGAGTGGGAGTCTGCTTCTCGCCAGCGTGCAACATCCCTCGCTGGTCACCTGACCTCCATTAGTCCACCTGACTGTGATGTCTCTCATGCGCTGTCCCATGCTGATCTCCTGTCTCATCAAACAGGGGATCTCCAGAGTAGCCCGCTATGTTGAGCGTAAGCGCAGACCCAACAGGTCCCCATTTGTCAGAGCACCAACATACGTTGCTGCTCCTGAAACAATGGGATTAGCTCACATTCCTCAATGGTGTCCTCTACAGAGTTGTGAGGGACCCACTGGCCAAATACAAGAGATTCCAGTTTGTGGTACCTGACTCCCTAAAACAAGTGGTGCTGTCTGGCATACACGACAATGCTGGTCATCAAGGTCAACCTCGCACACTCTCCTTGGCTTGTCAGCGTTTCTTCTGGTATGATATGGAGAAGGATGTGCGCGATCATGTGAGAAATTGCCGCAGGTGTGTTCTCAGCAAGACCCCAGAGCCAGCAGCTAGGGCCCCGTTAGAAAGCATTAAGACCTGTGCTCCACTGGAACCTGTGTGCATTGACTTCTGGTCAGCTGAGGACAGCAACAACAAGTCTGTGGATGTCCTTGTGATTACTGACCACTTCACAAAATTAGCACATGCATTCCAATGCCCGGATCAGACAGCTAAGAGAGTTGCTAAAAAGCTCTGGGATGGATTTTTCTGTGTGTATGGCTTCCCTCAGCGCATTCACTCTGACCAGGGAGCTAGTTTTGAGAGTGAGCTGCTTGCAGAGCTTCTGGTTTTGGGTGG